AAAAAAAAAAAAAAAAAGAACAGAAAAAGAGAAACATCTCAGGGATGAAACAGGATGTGGGCAGCAGAGCAACAGCGAGAGGAAAGGGAAGATGCATCCAAGAACTGCTTAGAGTTTGATGAACTGGAAGGGAAAGGGCAGGGAGGAGACACTGGAAAACAGTAAAGAAGTCCTCAATAAAGAAAACTCGGACAAGAAGAACGAAGAGGTCTGGAGAGAGAATGGGAGCCTCTTGGGAGAGAGTCTTAAACCTTGACAAAAACCAGGTGGGCAGAGTACACCAGGTCGGCCACATACGCCAGTAGGTTGATGGCCGTCAGGATGGCCACAGCCAGCCGGCGGTCCCAGTCACACACGTAGTAGTTGTGTCGGTTGCCACAGCTCACATCTCTCGCGCGCCGGGGCTGGCCGCCATACTTCTCATCAAACTGGTAGAGTGGCCAGAGGACGAGGGCAGTGGCGTAGAGTAGGACAGACAGCAAGGCCAGCCCCGACAGGAAACTGGGGAAGGGGATGGGCAGCACGTTGGTGCACTCTCCCAGGTTCAGCAGGATGGCGACGGCTGCCAGGATGAAGCAGATGGCGTAGACCGCCACGCACCACTCCAGGGCGGGTTGGTGCTGGTACAGGTGGGCGCTGCTGATGAAGACAAAGATGATGCAGGCCACGAAGGTCTCCAGCACCTTCAGCAGCCCTGGCACGGTGGCCATGTAGCCTGTGATCTCGCCGGGCCGTGCCCGGGTCCAGGCCACTTCGGTGGCATAAGCCACGCAGGCGACGCAGGAAAAGAAGGTGGCGGCGATGGCGTGGTCCCGGGAACGGCCATGGGACATGAACTGGACATAGGTGGTGGGGTAGATGATGGAGGCTGAGAGGCAGAAGAGGGCTGCATAGCAGGCGAAGGTGATGGGGAAGTTGCGCCAAGACAGGGGGAAGCGGGCCTGGAGCCCGCACAGCTCCACGATGAGGATGATCAGAGTCACGGAGAAGCAGAAGCACCAGGTGAACATGGACCAGTTACCCATGAACCCCGTCCAGGCGCCCACGCTGGCCACCAGAGAGAAGGCCACACAGGTGGACACCAGCTGCAGCAGGCGAAGGAGACCCAGGGGCTGAGTCAGGGCTCGAGGGGACCCCACGATGGTGGGGGACCCCAGGCCCGAGGACGTTGTCATGGTGGTCGTGACAGTTGTGCGGGTAACCGTCACTGGCATGGCTGCGAAAAGGGGGAAAGACAGTAGCCTTATAAGGTGACAGACCTAATAATCCAGGTCCCCTAGCAGTTGCGTGCCCCAGGGAGAAATTAATATGAGCTCTAGTTAGAGAGTTCCCAAGAGGTGGGCTTTGGGTTGTCTTTTTTTTTCTTCTCCATCTGGAGTTTCGCTCATTGCCCAGGCTGGCGCGATCTTGGCTCACCGCAACCTCCACCTCTCGGGTTCAAGCGATTCTCCTGCCTCAGCCTCCTGAGTAGCTGGGATTACAGGCGCCCGCCACCATGCCCAGCAATATTTTATATTTTTAGTAGAGGCAGGGTTTCACTATGTTTGGCCAGGCTGGTCTCAAACTCCTGAGCTAAGGTGATCCACCCGCCTCGGCCTCCCATATGCTGGGATTATAGGTGTGAGCCCCCACACCCAGTTTGTTTGTTTTTGAGACAGAGTCTCCCAGGCTGTAGTGCACTGGCACGATCTTGGCTCACAGAAGCCTCTGCTGCTCAGGTTCAAGCAGTTCTCCTGCCTCAGCCTCTGAGCAGCTGGGATTACAGGCACATGCCATCACACCCAACTAATTTTTATTTTTAGTAGAAACGGGGTTTTAACAGGTTGGCCAGGCTAGTCTTGAACTCCCGACCTCAGGTGATCTGCCAGTCTCGGCCTCCTAAAGTGCTGGGATTACAGGTGTGAGCCACTGAGCCCATCCTTGGGTTTTCAAATGGGGACAGTCCCGGGCAAACAGGGATGAGCCCGTCCCCTCTGTTTCTAGGCTCTCTCCTCCCCTCCCTGTATCAGAACCCAGGAGTCTAGGCCCCTATTTTTCTCCTTCCCAAGAGACTCTTCTCTCTTTCGGGTCCTAACTATTGTAGAACTACATTTTTTTGCTTCCCACTCCAGATACCGTGCTTCCCTCTTTCTCTCGTTCCCCCAGAGACTCAGTAACATGGCCATTTAACACTCTGTCTATCGCACCATCCCTCTGGCCAGGCTTGGGTGTGGCTCATGCCTGTAATTCCAGCACTCTAGGAGGCTCAGGCAGGAGGATTGCTTGAGCTCAGCAGTTTGAGACCAGCCTGGGCAACCTTGGGAGACCTCATTTACAA